GCCCCCAGGCACAAGAATTTCTAATTATGGCTCTACCCAGTCAAGTTTGTTGCAAACCCTCATTATTTTTCTTTCCCTGTCAAATAGAGTTCTTCCAGGATCCCAGTTCTGCACCCTTTCTTCAAAGGACAAAATGGAGTACAAAATGAAGCAGGACAGAGCATCATAAATTGCTACAGGAAACCTTGGCCAATGGTACAGGGAACGCAACTAGAAACACAACTAGAAACACAACTAGAAACACAACTCTCTCCTCCTCCCCTGCCTCCCAACCGCAGAATGATATTCACTGGGGATTCAAGAGGAGGAGTGGTCTAATTAATATTCATGAGCTCTCATCAATAATTCAAGACAATGTGCTTTCCCCCACTTCTCCCCACTAACACGGAATTCCTCTTTTACAGCACTGGAAGACTGAGCTGCTATTTCTACTGTTCCTGGCCATGGCCATGAGTGAGGCCAAACAGGTAGAAGAGAAAGCCTGTGACTTGATAGGAGAGAAAAGGAAAGAGTCAGAGAAGGAGTAGGCCATAGCAAGAAGCTACTGGGGAAGAGTGGAGGACAGCTACAAGTAGCTCCGATACTAATGAAGTGGCTGAGTTCAAATCCAGCTTCAGATATTTACTAGTTGTGCGACCCTGGTGATCTAGAGACAGACATTCTGGAGAATGAAGTCAAGCGGGCCTTAGGAAGCATTGCTAACAACAAGGCTAGTGGAGGTGATAGAATTTCAGCTGAGCTACTTACAACCCTAACATATGGTGCTGTCAAAGTGCTGCCTTCAACATGCCAAAAAATTTGGAAAACACATCAGTGGCCACTGGATTGGAAAAGATCAGTTTATATTCCAATCCTAAAGAAGGACAATGCCAAGAAATATTCAAGTTATTGAACAGTTGCTCTTATTCCACATGCCGGCAAGGTTAGGCTTAACATTCTGCAAGCTAGCTTTCATCCATATGTGAACCCAAAATTACCAGAAGAATAGGCTGGTTTTCAAAGAGGCAGAGGAACTAAAGACCAAATTACCAACATTAACTGGATTATGGAGAGAGCAAGGGAGTTTCAGAAAAACATCTACTTCTGCTTCATTGACTGCACTAAAGCCTTTGTGTGGATCACAACAAAATGTGGCAAGTCCTCAAAGAGATGAGAATACCAGACAATCTTACAAGTCTCCTGAGGAACCTGTATGTGGGCCAAGAAGTGACAGAACTGAACATGGAACAAATGATTGGTTTAAGATTGGAAAAGGAACACAATGAGGCTGAATATTGTCACCTTATTTATTTAATCTATACATAGAGTGCATCACATGAAATTCCAGGCTGGGTGAATCAAAAGCTGGAATTACAGTTGCTAGGAGATACATCAACAACCTCAGATATGCAAACAATATCACTCCGATGGCAGAAAGTAAAGAATTGAGAAGTCTCTTGATGAGGGTGAGAGAGGAGAGTGTAAAATCTGGCTTGAAGATTAATATTCAAAAAAACTAAGATCTTGGCAACTGGTCCCATCACTTCCTGGCAAATGGAAGGAAAAGAAATGGAAGCAGTGTCAGATTTCATATTCTTGGTCTCAAGGACCGCCATAGACGGCAACTGTAGCCATGAAATTAAAAGACACTTGGTCCTTGGAAGGAAAGCTATGGTGAATCTAGACAGCATACTAAAAAGCAGAAATATCATCTTTTTTGACAGTCAGGTCTGTATGGTCAAAGCTATGGTTTTTCCAGTACCAATGTATGATTGTGAGTGTTCATGTGGGCCATTTGTGCCTGGCCTGTGTTAGACCATTCCTAACTCGTATTGGTCTGATCAGCCCCAGTTGGATGCACTATAACTTGACTCTAACATAGTGATGTCATTTTAGTCCTCTTCAAGAATGAAGGACAACAACCATAAGGAAAGCTGAGCACTGCAGAACCAATGATTTCTAATTGTGGTGTTGGAAAAGACTTTTGAGAGTCCCCTAGACAGCAAGGAAGTCAGATCAGTCAATACTTAAAGGCTTTCACTTACTTTCAGGCTATTCACTGGAATGTCAAATACCGAAGCTGGAGTTTAAATACAGTGGTCATATAATGAGCAGGTAGGACTCAATGGGAAAGACCTTAACATTGGGAAAGATTGAAGGAAAAGGGGATGGTAGAATATGAGACAGATAAATACTGTTATAGAAACAATGAACATGAGCTTGGACAGATGTCAAGAGATAGCATGGAGGTTAGAAGTGCCTGGGGTGCTATGGTCTGTGGGATCATGAAGAGTAAGGCATAGCTGAACAACAACAATAGACAACTGGAGCAAAATAACCACAGAAAGAAAGTTTATCTTGAACTTTTTCATTACTGTTTGAACATTTTCTCATTTTTTTGAAAATAGAGAAATTAAGGTGATGCAATCAGCGGGTATTTGCGTGCGTGTGTGTGTGTGTGTGTGTGTGTGTGTGTGTGTGTGTGTGGTGTGTTTTGTTTTCCTCCCTCTTCCTTAAACTGGTGTTTTGAAATAAGGAAACATTTATGTCATTTTTTTTTGTATAAAAATATGACTTCAGAAAATTAAAAGGACCAAAAACAAAAAAGAGTGCCTCCTTTATTGTTTTGAATTCTCCTTTTATCTCAAAACCTGTGACCAAGAAAGACTCTGAGACTAAATAACTATGTAAAATCTGACACACACACACACACCCTCAAGATTTAATTTTTAACAGTGACCATACCCTTAAACTTAAGAATTGTAGACTTTTGGAAACATGGAAAGATGAATGGATTTTGGAGTCAGAGGAACTAGATTCAAATCCCAGCTTGACCCTATAACTACCTTTGATTCAATTCAATAAACATTTATTAAGTGCCAATTAAGTGCAGGTACTGTGCTAAGTGCTGGGCAAATCTTAGGCAAATCACTTTCCTTCTCAAATCCTCAGTTTCTTTTTTTTGCCTTTTGGTGAGGCAGTCGGGGTTAAGTAACTTGCCCAGGCTCACACAGCTAATAAGTGTCAAGTGTCTGAGGTCAGATTTGAACTCGGGTCCAAGGCCTCAGTTTCTTGATCTATAAAATGAAGGGTTTGGGTTAGATGACCTCTAAGGCCCCTTCAAGCTCTAAATTTATGATCCTGCTACTCTTTAGGCATCAGTGTACAGGAAGAAAAGATATTTGGAGGGCCTGGCCATTCTCTGTAAGGAATATTTCTGAAATGATGATAAAAAATAATATGATTTGTATATTTAGATTTTATATAAATTATATATAAATATATTTATTAAATTATATATAAATTATTGTTAAAATATGTAAACATTTTGTATATTATATATTAAATATATATTTAAAGTTTACTGTACTTTACATATATTATTGTATTTGATCCTCACGATAAGCCTATGAAGTAGGTGCTATTAATACCCCCATTTTACTGAGGCTGAGAGGAGTTAAATGACTTACTCAGAGACATACAGCTAAGTGACTAAGGAGGAATTTAAACTCAGGCCTTCCTGCCCCCAAGTCTAACATTCTATTCACTATGCCACCTCAATGCCTCATGATACTTGGAAGGTGGTCAGCTTCTTTGCCTATAGGTAAAGTGGTCCCTGTGCTCAAGATAGCAGCTTCCTAGGTAAATATATTGGTTACCTTGACAACAAGCTAACAAATGTTAATGTGTGTGTATGTATGTGCATGTGTGTGTGAACCTATATGAAATTAGCCCCAGCTCTTCAATTAAGTCTGTTGCCTAACCTCAATATTTCCCATCTTTGGGCTAAGGGATGGAGGTAGATATAAACAGACAGATGAGAGAGACAGAGACACAGACAGAGACAGACAGAGGCAGAGACAAAAAGTGCATTGATTAATAGCTCACAATGTGCTAAACCCCAGGGATATAAATGGAAGCAAGAAAGATCATCCCTTCCATCAACAGCCGACAATTCTCCTATGGGAAAGATAATATTTGTAAAGCACATAGCACAGTGCATTGCACATGGTAAGCACTTAATAAACGGTCATTCCTTTCCCTTCCCCACTGGAAGAGACAGTACCTAAAGTGAAACTGGAAAAGACTTTTGTGGACACCCACAGGGGCATGATTGGGAAATGGTGAATGAGAAATGACCCGGAGGACTTGTTCATAGTCCATAAATGTTGGGGTTGGGGGAGGAGGTGGAGGAAGAAGAGAGGAGAAGAGGAGGATGGCTGGAATATGAGTAACATGATCAGGAAAGTTCCCCACCCTTGACTCTTTGGATAAGGGAAGGAAAACAGGACCCTGAATATGGCCCCAGGACTTTGACTCTCCTGGGTCAGAAATCTCGACTCCCCTGTGAACATAAAGCCCAAAGGCCCGACATCCTAGGGGCCTCCCTGGACAGTCTGTTTTAGAGCATCCTTCTGGAACATCTAGAACAGAACAGAGAGGGGGTAAATTCCCATCAGTTTGAGACAAGGGGGTCTAACATCCCAGGACTAGCTATGGAGATCCACACCCTGCCTTCCACAGACCCAGCGTCGGAGACCCCCAGCTGTGGCTGTCATGATTCGCAGACATGGGAAGCAGTACTTGACTTGTTCTCTGCATCTATTCTCTCTAAAAGGTCCCAAAAAACCAGAGGCAGAACTAGAGATTGATGAATGAATGAGAGGGAAAGACAAGATAATTCAGGGAGCATTGAATTTTATTGTCATTCAGAGAGAGGGCTGAGGGTTGAGATAATGCCAGAGCCCAGGCCTCCCTGGCACAGGTTTGTAGAGCCAAGCTAAGGGGATATCAGGGCAGAATTCAGGTAGATACATATTACTAGGGAAACCTAGGGACTCTGTGATAGATAAAGCTCAGAAGCCTTCCCTGCAACATCTCAGCAGCCACAGGCCCAGGAGGAGTGAGGTGGGAAGGAAAGCTGCAGGCTAGGGAAAGGTTGTTGACCTGTGGCTCTTCCATGCTGAAGATTCTGCCAATGTGGTTCTTCTACCCCTTGGGTGGTGGAAGAGGGGACAAGGTCAGCAACAGCCCCCAGAGCCTTCCTGATTACCCCCGCTGCCACAGCCATCACTACTGGATCCATGGTTCCAGAATCGGGGGAATCTCCGGGGCCGGTGGGAAAACAGGCAACAGCCTCCCCCTGTGCCCAGGCCAGAATTACAGCATCCTCCAGAGCTAGGCCCGCAGCAGGCCCCTGAGCTTGGACCACAGCACTCTCCACAGCTTGATTCACAGCCAGAAGGCTCTGGCGGCGGGCATGGAGCAGGGATTGGTGCAGGGACCTGGGGAGGACACTTGGGAGGGCATTTGGGGGCCTGGCATTTGGGAGGGGGCTGGCACTGCTGCTGGCTCTGCTGGTAGCTCATCTTTGCAGGAGTTCAGAGAACCTAAAAGAAAATACAGAAGTCCTAGTGTTCAATAAATATAAATCTCACTTCTTTTTAAAAAGATGAACCCAGGGAGTCATTGTGTGTCTCTTTGGATCCAGATTTTGTTGTTGTTCAGTCACATCTGACACTTTGTGACTTCATTTGGAGTTTTCTTGGCAAAGATACCAGGGTGGTTTGCCATTTCCTTCTCCAGATCATTTTACAGAGGAGGAAACTGAGGCAAACAGAGTAAAGTGACTTGCTCAGGGTCACTCAATTAGCAAGTAAGTGTCTGAGGCCAGATTTGAACTCAGGAAGGTGAGTCTTCCTGACTCCAGGCCCAGCACTCCATCCACTGTACCACCTAGCTGTCCTTTGGATCCAGAAGCCCCAAACAAATGATGGCAGAAGAACCAAATTCTCTGGGCTGGAGAGAAATCAGGCTAATTGAATTATATTCTTCATACAAACAGAGATGCCGTATGACATAATGGATAAAGAACCTATTTCAGAACCAGGAGTACCTGGGTTCAAGTCTTGCTTCTAACACATAGTAGATGTGAGACCTTGGACAAGTCACTTAACCTCTTGGTGCTCCAGGGGCAGCTCACTAAGAATTGGAGAGAAGAGATTTTCCTCACCAAGAGGCTCCTTATACCAGGAAAATCACAAGTCCCTGATGCTATGCAAATGGGACTCCATGAGCTACCCTCTTCAACTCCTCCCCTCCCATGCTCTTCTACAATCCTTGGCTTCAAGGAAGCACCCCAAGCACCCTCAATAGCATATAACATCTGGCCTCAAGCTCCCAAAATAGAAGAGCGTCTTGGTCAGGACCTTCTCTGATTTCTATTTTCTATTCCCCAGAAGGTCATGCTTTGGAACAGAGACTCCAAGGGCTCTGCCATGGCTGCTCTCTTCCCTTACCTCAGTGTTCTGGGGCAAAGCTCTGCATCCCCAATTCTACAGGCATATCAGCCTATAGCTAAAGACCACAATGTCCAGAAGCTCCTTCCTTCCTAACCCTCTGAAGAACTCTCAAGTTCCCTCACCTCTGAGCCTTACTCTGGGGCCCCATGTAAGCTATCTTACAGCATCTGAGAGGTTTCAAGGCAACATTTCTACAATGGAGAAATTTGTTCCTGATCTTAAGCTACAATGCAGGTTTCTCCTGATTCTCAGACTTCTAATTCCTTGTTTTCCATTTTTTCTCCCTGTCTTTTCTCATGTCCAGTGCCTTCTGCTCCAGAAGCTCAGTTGGAAAGGCTCTCAGAAGTTATCTAGGCAAACCCAAGCTTCACCAAGCATCCTTTTTGTAATATCCCTGACAAATGGTCCCCTTTCTTTCTCCATGAAGATTCTCAGTGACATGGAATTCCCTCTACCTCTCCTTAAGATTCTTGTTCCAATCCTCCACTCCACATCACCCTCTACTTCAAGAAAGAGCTAAATACCCAAAGATGAACTAGCAGCTTATAGTCAGCTCCATCTAGAACATCTCTCCAGTCCACTCCATGCCTCTAACCACCAAAGACTTCCTAGAAAATCAGGCTTCCAGGTATTTCAAAGGACTTACAAAGTCCTCTAATCTGAAATGTCCAGCCATCTTTCCATGGATACATGGAAGCTAAAGCAAATGTCTAGAGAGGACTATTGTCCTGAAAATAACTCACCTCTGTCTTCTAAATAGACCCAGTGACTGAGAAGTTGCGTAGACTGAAAAGCAGCTTACAGTGAGAGCTTTTATACAAATCCTACCTTATAGAGATGAGGCATACATGATGGGAGAGCTCTTGACCAACCCCAGGAGGCTGTGATGACATCTTGAACCCCAGAGGTGTCATCCCTTGGTCACTTGCTGTCATGGGCTGTCACTACCTGACTCTGTATGAGTAACCCTCTTATGCATCTCCTCCTTCAATAAAATGAGATAGGGTTTCCTGAAAGTTAAGAATAGAGTATGTCTTATAACGGAATAGCCTGGGGCTTAGATTTGGTGTTTCTGAAGGAATGCCAGGAATGTGAGGGATTGGAAGATTCCCAAACCTACAAGTCTTGTCATCAATCAAATTAGGGATTTCCCCACATTTTTATAGAGCAGAGCAAGGATTAATATAAATCTATAACATTAATAAAGAGTTTTTCCTACCTGCTGAGCACCCCCAAAGTTGTCTAAAATGGTCAGTGAACTATACTTATTAGGAATTATTAATGACCTCTCTCTACTCTTTTAAAGGTCCCTGGAGCTTAAGACAGTTTGTGAATTTTCAAGATTCAATTTTTGAAATCCTCGGGAGTTAATTTCTAACTCTGGCACAGAAAATTTGGTATATCAATTAACAACCAATAAGTATTAAGCATATACTATATGCAAGGGCATTGTGCTAAGTGCTGGGTTAAAAATACAAAAATGAGATACCCCTCCCTTCAAGGAGCTTATAGATTGTCAAGTTATCATTGTTCGATTGTCAAACGTACGCTTGCCTGAAAGATTATTTTATGGAGAATTCACACAGGGCAAGCGCTCACATGGTGGTCAGAAGAAGTGAAAAAATGACACTCTCAAGGTCTCTCTGAAGAACTTTGGAATTGATTGTGTGACATGGAAGACACTGGCACACGACTGCCCAGCATGGCGTGCCCTCAGCAGAGAAGGTGCTGTGCTCTATGAGCAAAGCAGAATTGAAGTAGCTCAAAAGAAATGAGAGATGAGCAAATTTAGAGAATCCAGCCCAAATGTTCATTCACATCAATTATTTGTGCCTGACCTGTGATAGAACATTCTGAGCTCATATTGGTCTGATCAGCCACAGTCTGACACATTGTAACAACTCTAGCACAATGATGTCTTTTTGGTCTTCTTGAGAAGGAAGGACAACAATCAGACTGTCAAATAAGACAATACGTACATGTCTCAGTATATACAAAGTATACACCAAATAAAGGCATGGAGGTAGGGCACCAGCAGCTGAGAAGGGATTAGGAAATTTCTCATTAGGAACTAGGGCTTCAATAGAATTTCAAAGGAAGTGAGAGATCCTAAAATGAGGAGACGGGGGCAATTTATACAAAGACATTGGAGGGGGACAGATTGATAGTTATGTGTGGTGAGCATCAAGGAGGCCAGTTTGGCTGCAGTGGAGTCAATAAAAGGAGCTGTGTATAATACAGCTACAAAGGGAGGTTGAAGCCAGGTCTCTAAGAGCTTTAAATGTCAAACAGATAAGCTTGTATTTGGTCCTAGAGATAACTGTGTCACCAATATGCCTTTCACCAATGTTGTGACCCCCTGGGTTTTTCACATCCTTTGGACATTTTTTTTTTAATAATCAGGATCACATGTATAGGCTCATAGGTTATATGATCCTGTATTAGGTATCTCACATATTAGGCTCATAGACTTAGAGCTTAAAGGGACCTTGGAAATCATACCATCTGGTCTAGTTAAAGGCAAAGAAACCAAGGATCAGAGTGAGTTAAGAGATTTGCCCAAGATGTTGTAATTAGTCAGTAGCAGAGTTGGATTTTGAACTTAGGTCCTCTGACTCCAAATTTCAGTATGAGAGATAATGCTAGGCATCATAAGGAAAGAAAAGACAATAGTATGTGCGTATGTGTGATGTATATGAAAAATGTTTGGAAATGTAAAGAATACTGGAACTTTAGAGCTGAAAAGAATGTTTAGGGTCTTCCTAGTGCACATCTCAAGGTTTTTTATAAGATCCCACAATGAGACAGTCACTATGTAACTGAAGTAGAATCTAAAGATGTGTTGCATTCAAATATTTATGAAGCAAATAAATGACTTTGTTTTCTGTTTCCACTGGCTTTGTGTTAACAAAAGCTTTTGATGGGACAACAACTTTGAGCTCATCCTGTCTAATGGGATTCAGGATAATGGATGGATGGATGGGTAGATGGATGGTTGGATGGATGGATGGATGGATGGTTACCCTTCAGCAGTAAGGGTGGGATGGGAACATATACTCCTCAAACTGACTCCTTGTTTACAAATATGTCAAAGTCTGAACAAAGGTTGAAAAACATTTGTTCCATTGAATTAATCTGAAGTCCACAATGACTCATTGATTTCTCTATCAAAATGTCTTCATCTTAGATTTTATTAATAATCAGAGTCTATTTTTCTATAGTGATTTAAGATTTATAATGTGCTTTCGTTGCCACAATTCTGTGAAGTAGGGAGTACACATATTTACAGATGAATGGAGGTTAAATGAATTACACAGGGTCACACAGCTAGTAAATGTAGGGCCCAGCCTCCAAGACTTATGTGCATAGCAGCAGATCACTCCAAAGATGCAATGATGCTAACTGAGAGCTCTTGAATGTCAGCCAATAGACCACTGTGTGCAAAGCTTTGTGAGGAGGATAAAAAGAAAAATAAGATATTTTCCCTATTAAGAATTTATGATCTAGTCAGGCAGTAGGGTGGCTCAGTGTGAAAATAATCAGGAAGAACCAAGTTCAAATCCTACCTCAGATACTTCCTACCTATTGACCCTGGCCAAATCATTTAACCTTTTTTTGCCTTAGTTTTCTCATCAGTGAAATGGTGGTAATAATAGCACCTACCTCATAAGGTCACTATGACAGTTACATAAGATAATACTTTAAAAAATTTTAACACTGAAATTTTGAAGTGTTATTATTATTAATAACTGAATCTATACCTGCCTTTCCTCAGTAGCTCATTTCCAGACCTTTTGGCCTTCCCAGTGCCACCCTTCTGGAATGGCTCTACGCAGGTTGGGTTTTAGGCCTTGGGTTTATCTGAAGGATTATCCCAACTTTTTGTACTCCTGGGCTAGGGGCAAAGGCTAGTGGCTATCACCTTTTATCTATTTTGTGTATGCCAATATGTTCCCAGTTAGACAGTAAGGTCCTTGAGGGCAGGGACCATTTGCACTTTTATCTTTATATCCCCATTTATCACAGTGCCCAGGACATAGAAGACAATTAATACATGCTTGTTGATT